AGGTATTAATAACGCTGTGTGTGGCTCTCTGAAGGGCATTAACTAGTCTCTTCCGGTTTTGTGATATTTCGTTTTTTAATTTTGTTTTTCCGGTGTCGAACAGCTGACGTTTTCCGGATTGTATTGATATCCGATATTCTGTCTGTTTAATATGACATTTTAAGTTTTAAGGTTATACCCATACGTAAAAACATCTATTATTATATTCTGGAATATTATATTTTTATTTCTACTATACGAATATCTAGCTGTATTTTGGCTACTTCGTTACTATAGGCACAGATTAGGTATACTCTATGTGTACATATAAAAATATTATCCCTAATTCGTGGTACGAAAATTGTTTTTTATGACGATGTGCAAACGAGTAAAATTTCCTGTGCGCAAAAATAAACTCGCGTAAAATAACAATAAACAGCGTAATAGAGAGATATCGCTAAACCGAATAGCGTGCATGGACGTTAATAAGGCCAGGTGTTATTTCCTTTACGTGAGGTGGTATTAACTCTCTTCATTTATAGTTATCGGATCGGAAAGAACTCTGTTCGGGACGCGTCCGCTATTTAAACTTAACCTAACTTTGAATTTAAAACTTTGAAATTGTTTTGTTTACTAGGTATTTTAAAACGAAAGGGCTAAAGTGCTTATTTCCAGTGCTTCATTATTCAACGTCTGCCAGTGAGTTTAGGGCAACAAGCAACACATTCTCTTAGAAGGGCTAAGTCGTCATCTGCTGTAAACCTAAGCCTCTTTATAGGTTCTTTAATATTAGAAGAGGTGGAATCCATATTTTGGGCCATATTTATTTAATTAAAACTAATCCCAGTTACTTAAATATCAAATTACCTAATAAAACTAAAGTAATAATTAAAACAATTCAAACATAACCTAAAATAAAAGATCTCGCCGGCCGGCCCCGGTTGTCAAATGTACCCGCACATACCCATTTAAGTAATTTTTAAACGTTATTTACAAATAGCGCTTGGTGTAATTGATCCGCAAATTACGTCAGGCGGTAACATTATTAGCGGGTGTTGCGTTAAAAATTGACTCGCGCATATCGTAACCATGATAATAATACTGCATGACGCTATTCGGTTTTCCGATATCTCTCTAATAACTGTGCCGGTCAGGCGCTGTGCACAATTTTAGAGGCCATAAGTGGGCGTACTATGTGCGCAAACTAGTAACCTAACTAGTGTCCGATTCCGAAAATTGGATGCACGAAAAACTATAAAGAAAAAACAAAGTTTATAATCTGTATAATCTGTACTATAGGTATGGCATTAATAATCGTTAAAATTAAGAATGTCATTATGTAAGATATAAGAATTCGTTGCAATGCTTATAGGAAAACTTTCATCAAATACTTTTTCTTCTTGTTCTATATATTTTTTTTGTTTGGAATAGAAAATTATATATATTCAAAAATATGTTAAGTTGCTACATTTATTTATTTCTTGACATTGTCATTCGTTTTGACACTTTAGTTTTGTATTACGAGTTTTTGGTTTAAATGAATTGTATTGTGAAACTTAAACTTAAAAAATTTTACTAGCAGACCTTGCAGTCGAACATTGTTCTTTTTAAAACCTCTTTTAGTGCGAAGTGGTACAAGATAGTTTAATAGCCGTAAAAGCTCATCGCAAGTTTATTAGAATATTTTGAACTGGAAAACGGTAGTAATGGTCCTTTTTGTCCCTTAAGTGTTGTTAAGAAGGTGAGTTTTGTTAATGTAAATAATAACTGATTATATATTTATAATTTATTTTTGTTTCCTAAAATATTTTGATTAAAAAAAAAAGTATGTAAAAGTGGGCAACGCTGTGCCGGTCAAGCTTAATTAAAATTTGTCAAATTCTCCAAGCCTCTGTATTTTTATAAAAATTGGCACACCGGTGTAAAATATTCTTGACATCTTAACTCTATGCCCACGTTGTTCTTATTTAAGAGGCATTTTTATAAATTGTCACACCATGACAGTTGACACAATGTATTGATGTATATGTATTTTTTTGTTATTGGACAAAATTTTGTTATTGGATTGATTTTGTATAAACATTTTATTGTCAAAAACTCAATATTGTTTTCCATTTGCTGCATTGTTTTGCAATATTCGGTGAATGGTTTTACAATTAAAGTTATTCAATCTATAGTTTCCATTATACCGTATTTAGACAAATCAACGTCAGGATGGATGTTCACACACTTCAGTGTCTAGCGTGTTAAATTTTTATTGCCCTGCATTATTGAACCAATAGCCCGATCACTACTAACGGGCATTTAATTAAATCGCTAAATATTTCGTCACTAACCCTATCGAATCGAAACTACATCCACTAAAACTATCGGTCGCCGCTACCGTTTCCACTCTTTTTCCATAATTAACCCTGCACGCGTGCCGCACGCCCATGAATACGTAATTCGACGTTGACCAGGGGCGGGACGTCCGAAGGGACGAGGTCAATCGTCCCTTTGGCATCGCCCATTAAGCTTTAAAAAAGAGCAGCCGGATTAATATTCAATATATATCGGTAACGGATTTGCCGTTCCCATGACCGCTCGGCGATACGGTAATTTTTGCGTATAACCCTTTTTGGTTGCTATGGACACATTAACTGTTGCAAGGTGAAGCCTTAAATTGAGTCACTATATTCCCCACTATTATAAATATACACTCTGGCTATTTTTATTTTGTATGTTCATGCTTCCTTCACATTTCTCTGTTTTTTTTAGGATTATTCGAGGGATTATAGCGTCCTTCGCAGAGCAGTCAGAAATATTTTACAAAGGTCCGACGCATGCGAATGCGCATGAACAAAAAGCATTTGCAGAACAAAAATTTGGAGTTTCCAACTGATTTCTAATAGGTCCACGTACCAGGAAAACGTTTTCAGTTTTAGCCTTACGCATTTTTAATTACGAATACACACGAGCCAAAACAAAATATTTTTGAACCAATATGAATAAAACAATTAAATGTGGCAAAAATAATTTATATTTCTTAAATGTATTTCGAATTTACAGGCGGTGCTATATTTTTTGAACTCTTGTATACTAGGAACAATTTTTGTGCCAGAATTTTTTTAATTTAGACTTAATCAAATTTAATATGCCAAGAATAATTCATGCCAACACAAAAAAAAATATTTTTTTACCATTCAATCCATAAAATACATAAATAAGCATGTTCGGTCTTCCGCTATACTGGTATATACCAGGACCGGTACTTTTGAAATACCGTATTTATTACGTTACCGTATTTACTTAACGTTATAGGCACGAGAACTTTCTATTTAGATTTTTTAATACGGTATCATGAGGCATACATATGTATTGGTACCACATACTTTGTATTTCGAGTCAAATTGTTATGAACACGTCTATTGACTGCCTAGATTGAAATTTAAAATACTATTTTTTTCAACGAAAATGTAAACATTTGACATGTGATATGTCACTCTACTCAGAATGCCATTTTCTATGAAACAAAGTAAAAATATCGACGAATACGCCAATCAATCCTGATTTGTGTTATATAAGAATATACAAAATATTGTTTTTCTATCTGAAAAAATAAAAAAGTTAGAGGAGTGAGTCGCTTTTGAAAAACACCCGGTATGTATAAGGTGACCCTACCAACCGAAGACCTAAACATAACCGAAGAAGTATTACTGACTTCACTTCAACTATCACGACTAACTTAAAAAATCGACACTTTATTTTCAAACTATAAAATCTCTGACACTCTTCTATACTTCAAAATATTTCTCTTCGTCAAAACTGTCACATTGTGTCACTCCGTCCCTCATTAATCGCATAATGTCGTTACCTGTTCCCGATATTTGCATGAACTATATCAAAACTGTCGCCCAACATTCAAATTTGAAGAGTGCTCTACGTCAACTTGAAGAGAGGACCCTCTGGCAACGCGACACCTACCGCGTGCTGCGTTTAGTCTTTTCGGTCCTTTCAGTTGACAGAAAGGGGTAAAAAGTAAATATAATCAATAGATACGCTGCCATGGGAACGACGCATATGCAAATCGATAGTTTCCACCCTATTAAATTTCATGTGCGATTTTAAATTATTTCAACGCTCGCTTGAAACTGTTTATGTCACAAACAAAAAACGTGTCAGTGGTTTTTAATATACGATATATATCGTTTTTCTTTTTTTTCGAGAAAAACAATTGTGATTGATTAAAATTTTATTTTAAGACGAAACTTTTGTTAACATTCTGAGAATTCGAATAATGAATTGAATAATGACAAGACAGGTTACGTCTATCTAAAAAAGACAGTGATTTAGAGTGACAATTTGGTTATGCAAAAGAAATACTGGTTGTCTAACGATTAACGTTAATTTAAAAATCCCCAACATGAATAATGAACAAAACATTTCAACAAAAACAGGCTACACAAAACAAATTGTCGATTAGTAGCAGTTAGTAGTAGTCAGAGATATAGATGTAGTAGTATTTTGGTATAATGGCCACAGCTGCCGGCCGAGTGATAGAATTGTCGTTTTTTAATAAAAATAAAAAACATAAAATTATAAAGCTAGAATAGTATACGGTTTTACATTAACTCTGTTTTTTTCGAAGTTTATAAAAAGCATTCATAAAAAAATATATCCTTCAAATCCTTCAATTTAATAGTTGTTAGTAAGAACTTTCACTTCAATGCGCACATAGTGCACACACAATTTTTTTTTTGTATCAAAAGGTAGCCTATTGTTGCGAAACCTGTTGCTTTCTATCCCCGCTCATAAGTGAGAAATACATTATGACCGAAAATAAAACCGACGTTAGCGATGGCTATGAAATGAAGAACGCTGTCACTTTATATGTAACATTATATGCGAAATGATATCGATGTTCATTTTCAAGCCAACTGGACGCTGTTTAATTTACAATCATATGATTAACCTCCTAAAATTGGAATACCCTATCCTTTGACATAAACAATTCGAATACAGTGTTTGTTTTTTTGTTTCAGATACATTACCCTGGGCTGCGAAACCATCAAAATAATCCTGAAACATTTCGGACCGGTCATTCGCAACAATATCCAATCCCCGGTGGGTTCCTTCGGCGTGGACATCCCGCGCGAAGAGCGCTACCAAAAGTCGGTTAAGTGCCACGAGTTGCTCTGCCAACTGCGCAGCTGCATCGCCAAGAAGCTGTCCCTTCCCGGAAGGGTGAGCGTGTGTCTCCGCGAGGTGGAATCTCTAATGGCCCTCTCCCTGGACTGATGAAGGGCTTCGGGGGCGTTCTGGTCCAGGAAACGACGCGTCAAAGGGCCCCGAAGGCTTTTGGAGCGACTGCCCGAGCAGTAGAATGGCGGAGAAGAAATCGTCGTGCCGTAGACTAACACGTTCGATATGCGGTTAGGTCACTGATAAAGTCCGCATCGTAATATGGAACTTCATTTTATTTATTGGCTTAGGTGAAATTTGGCTTTGGTAGTAGTTTCTGCTTTTATTTATATTAAAAATGACATCAGAAAATTTCGCCTGTTGCTTGATTAAAGTGTTACGTTTTTCGACTGTTCCATGTGGATAAAAAGTCTAATTTATTTAACACAATTTATTCCACTAAGTAACAAAACAATAACGATAAAACACTTAAAGAACTATTTACAAACTTATTTACAACTATTTGTCTAAAAGGGATCAATTTAAATTTATTTTAAAAGGCGCGAGCACGATTACCGGCTCTGATTGTTTCTGTCCTCCTCACGCCTCAGGCGTCGCTTCTTATACGAGAGAAACAGACAATCTAGAATTTACTAGACTATTAGGTGCATAGAGAGGGACGCTTTCGATTGCTCTCCTGCATTCGCCGCCATTCCAATGCCTTCCATTTATTCGATCGGCTGAATCATTGCGGTGTCTCTTCTTTGATGCGATTCCAGAAGGTCATATGGGGGCGGGGTATATTAGAACGGGGCTGATTTTGCCACAAAGTAATAAATGGCCAAAAAATTGGTTTCATGGACAAATTTTGAAAAATGTTTTTTAAAAAAGTTGTTTCTTTTTTAATTTTACACGAATATGCGAATTTTCAGCCATCTATACCAAGTTTTAAAGTGTTATTTTTTTACTTTTAGTCCTATTTTCATGAATGTTTAGCAAACTGTATATAAATCTATCAACTTTAATTAATAAACTCAGTTTTTATAAACCTTAGTATTTGGCTTATTATTAAGGGTTAATTGAAGGGTTGTTTTTTATCTTAACTTTAAAACACCCTGTGCAATAAATTTGTGAATAACTTTTCCTAAAACACCATTTTTCAATCAGAACCATGTCTCCTGAGCATTTCGTTTTTTGACTCATGTCAACACATGCCTTGGTTAATTTTTAAGAGCGAAATGAACTTGCCACCAATAATTTGCAACTTTTTAACTATCATTACTTTATGATGTTAATTTTTAATCCCCGAGGTTGCTTTTTATCGTAACTCAAATAATAACTATTAATAAACGTTAAAAAGTAACGATGCAGGCTTGGTTTTAATAAAAATTAAAAACACTAACAGAACTAAGGATATTAAAAAAAAAGTGTACAAACAAACAAAAAACTTCTAAAAAATACTCTAATACTTTGTATTGCCTCCCCCGGCTGCTATAGCTGTCATAGTCGTCGGTTCATACTGTTAATGAGGCTGCAAATATATTGTGTTATGTTTTCCCATTCTTCTACAAGGATCAAGCGAATATTCATAATTTCGGTCATCTTAAACAAAATCAATGACTTTTTCACAATTTTCGACACTAAGAACCATATTCAATCGTATACAACACCAAATCACCAAAACCACTTTGGCATTATGAAGAATAACATCAAAAAGTAACGATAATTGAAAAAACTACAAAATGTTTGTGGCAAGTTCATTTTGCTCTTAAAAATTAACCAGGGCATGTGTTGACATGAGTCAAAATAAAAAATATTCAGGAGACATGATTCTGACCGAAAAATAATGTTTTAGGAAAATTTGCTCACGAAATTATCGCACAGGTTGTTATAAAGATAGGGTAAAAAACAACTCTTCGATTAACCCTGTATAATAAGTCAAATATTAAAGTGTATAGTAAACTGAGTTTACGAATTAAAGTTGATATATTTATATACAGTTTGCTAAAAAAATCAAGGAAATAGGACTAAAAATAAAAAAAATATAACATTTTAAACTTGACCAAAAATTTTTCTGTTGCGTTTTTTCTGCATCTGAGTGTAGATGAAAAAAAAAATGATATATCTTTTATGCTACCGCGCTATGGAGACTTCCTCGTTTTATATTCAATCATAGAATTTAATGGACTAAATAAAAAAAAGTAGGATCTTCTTCCAATGCGCAGTAGTGTACGCAACGTCTATCGGCAGCCAGACGGCCCGCACGTTGATCCAGAGAGCATAGCAAAAGATGTATTAAAGAGCTTTCTTAAAATTCTCTCTTGAAAACGTAGCTCTTGGACTATTAAGTTTAGATTTTTTTAAATCATGCCCGCCAGAGTAGTAGGTTAGTAAACATTTTTTTTTAATAATATGTTCATTTTGATGTGATCAGAGACCATATTTTTATTTATTTTATTAAAATAACGTAACAAAATTTATAATAATATAAACTTAACAATATTTTAAGCTTTTAAACAATGTTCGAAGCACTGGTACCAAGGAATCTGATAGGTTTAACAAAAAATATATAAATATATATACCACCATACAAACGAAAAATTAATACACTACCTTATTAATTAATATTACCATTAAATTAGCACTAAATAATATAGGGGCAGTGTCTAAACAAAACAATACTAAAAGCAGACTAACAAATATACGGTTCAGGGGAAGATATTCATGCTTTGCATCACTTTAGTTTATTTTTTACAACTTTTTTTTAATCTATTCAATAAATATAACTGAATATAAGACCACTAGATAAATATTTAACTAACAATTGGAACACCGTCCGATTATTTTTGCTTCTACCACAAGAATCGGTTTGATTTAACCAATAGCAGGGTTAAAAATTACGAAATTTTATTATTCATCAAAATTTGGCCAATAAATCCTTCTTTTATCCATTTATTTTTTTAAATGTAAAATTTGACAGATTACCGATAGCAACGGCGAAAATTTTATTGTGATTTTTAAACTGTTTTAAAGCAAAAACTATCACCAGAGTGAAATTTGAACTAAATCTATAAATAAAATAAAATCCCATATTATGATGCCTACTTTATCTGTGACACTGGATACTGTATAAACATACATAATCTGTAAAAGTCGATGGCTACTAATATAACTGATAACATAACCTGTATAAGAATCCTCTATTTTTTCAATTGTTTACATGACACGTATTTTTAAGACTTGAGAAAGAGTTCCGTCCATAGATTTAACGCCCCCGTATTATATACCTCTCCAAAATAGATTTTGTACTTTTTCCCACGTGATAATTGCCCTGATAGAGTTACGCGACCCTGTATACTACTAACTTTTAATTTATTTTTTAACCGAATATACTCCCTTTTTGTAGCAATTTTTGTCATGTTATTGCGAAACTTACACAAGAAAACTGTAATTGAAAATATGGTAATTTTGATGTGTGGAGATTTTGTCTTGCCGGCTCAATTTTAATATTTCTTTTTTTTCCAACCAATACATTAATTTGTGCCATTCGTGTTGGTTTGTTTTTAGTAAATTGTTTTAGTTTTTAGTGACGAATTATATTGTAACACAAAATTGATCTGTAATATTTATTAAAAATACAATAAAAAATTAACATCATTTCTTAGTAGTATTCTTCATACCTAGTATACTGATATGCCAGAAGCATTACTGATCTTTGTTCTTGTATGACAGCTACATTGTAGTATACCCTATCGTCAAGCGAAGTCTTGGGTCGGCGTTTACATGTCTAGGAGTGAATCGCTATGGCGATCTAGTAAGTCGGAGGGAGAAAAATACGAAAATACGATAAGGTTAATAAGTAAGTATTTAATAATTTATCAAGAAAAATGAAGCAGTATCTGCTGACGGAAAGAATGGATATGTTACTAGTGATTTTATTTTGTGAGGACAATTGCTTGTTGATCTGAAGGATTTATGCCTAAAGATATCCAATTAGGAATTTTCTTGACAAGAGTTCCTTTGAAAAACTATTTTTTTCTATTTCGCAGACCTGATAGTGTGGTATATGAAAAACCTATTAGGCAGAAACCTGCCGAAAAAAAAACTTACTTATTAAACTATGGTAGGCAAATTAAATAAAAGTAAGCTGTTATAAATTTAAATAAAGTCAATAAACTAATCGGTATATTTCGTCGATTTTGAAAATAGCTACTAACTGTCACTAGCAAATTGCCATGGCGACACAAGCCATCTTGATTGTCATTTTATTGAAAAATCTCTTTTTATTTAAAATCTGAGTCAGATAGGTATAGATAACCCTAATATAGTTTGAAAGAGCATTTAAATCTGCATTAAAATATATTTTTATATATATATATATATATATATATATATATATATATATATATATATATATATATATATATATATATATATATATACATAATATATACATACATTAAAAAATGCAGTGTTGTATTTGAAATAACGAAGTTTTTATGTAAAATAAATATTTTACATTAATACCCCTGTATACATTTTAGAAAGCAATAAAAATGTTTAGTAAAGTTTAGTTTGGCTTCAAAGTCAGCACAAGAATTAACTTTGAAAAGTAAACAGGGTGTTGCCAAAATTGTTTATTATAGCATGCATATTTAAATATCTTTAAATATCTCAAAAACTAAAGCATTTAAACATATTAAACCCTTATAATAAATGCCTTATTTTATGCCCAAGACCCAAAAAATTAAATAAAATATTGGGTGTTCCATCAAAAAAAATATAACTTTGGTATGGATCTCTACATATACCCATAAAATATTTTGTTTCCACATCTTTTTACGCATTTCTACATCTCCGTTTTCGTATAATCCACCGAGACGAATGAGTTGCGCCGCCCTGTATATTCTGTACGACTTGAAGCTCTCAAAACTGCGAAAAGAGAAATTTATGCCCGAAGCCTAGATTACCAACAAGAATTATCAATACATGTTAATGCTCTGGCTAGAATAGAATTTAGCATGTCAAACTACCGGGTTCTGGAAGTATCCTTTACTCAAGACTGAGAAGAAATAGTGTTCCAATATAGATTTGTAGCACTATTCCTTCTCTTTCACCTCTCTCAAGAACAGTTCACTTGGTCAATGGATCAAACCAAACCAAACTCTGCCTAAAAATCACCTTAACCAGACATAACTCGGACGACCTTATAGATCTATTGTATCCCCCTTTCTTGAGTTATAATTCATCATAGAGTCTCAGGGCTTTAACGAAATCCAGTATCTGAGACGGATTTACAGAGGTTAGTTCTCCATCTCCGGTATCAGTCATACCAAAGTTTATGGCACGAATGATCGTCGTCTGGGCGTACTCAGTGATGAGGTGTTCTGGTGTTTCCCTATTTTCCCCAAAAAATCTGCATTCGCCGTTGTTTCTTAGCTTCAATCTACTGAGGTGTTTATTGAGGAGACAGTACCCTTTTAAAATGATGATGATTGATGATTTTTCTCGGTTGTAAGTCCTGAGAAATGTCTTCGAATGTCTTAGACCGTTGGAGGATATCCATTCCAGGTTACGAATGAAGTCTTCCAAGCTTCCAGGTATTTGAATTCTGCTTTAAGTTTTTAAGAGGGACACAAAATTGAAAAAAAAATATACCACTCCAATCTGCATGTACTCTGGAAATTCAATCATTTTTTACAAAATTGTAAGCATAATTGCATATTTTATGCCTTATCGGTCAACTAAAATTTGACAGTGATATCTCTATACGTGTATACCGATTTTTTATCGACTTAAAAATGTTTTATTCAGATTGTTGGGATGATTATAATATTTTAATCGCGTGAAATATGAGGACGGCGGCGTCGACAAGATTAAGGGATGTTTGTCCAAAGGGCACATTGCTGCCTACCCTTTCGCGTTGCCTTGTTATTCCCGTCTCGTGACAAGGGGCGCAAAGGGACGCGTATTATTGGATCGTTTTAAGACGAAATGTAAACAGTTCGTAACGTTAAACTAGGA